AAACGACGGAACCAGACAAAGAAAAATCCACGCTGCTCAAATCCGGAAAGCAAATTTGATATTTATGGACACCGTGAAAATCTCAAATATCAAAACTATAAGAATATCCAACCACGTGTAAGCATCAGGCTTTTCATATTCGCGCCATGGCGAGAGTCAGCCGATTTTGCACGCGAGTTCGTCAGAAAGTCTGGTGATATGGGAATCGCGCGCGTTTTCCTCTGTTTTCGATTAGACATTTATTCTTCATCCCGGCTTTTTTCTCCGAGGAAAACTGCAAATAAGCAGACGACGGGGGGAGGACGCGAAAAACGCGACTCGCGAAGCTCACGTTCAAATACTGTGGTTGCAAATAGCTGGGCGATTTGTCACGTAAACAACGGCGCGTCCGGACGTTCACGAGTCGCAAATAAATCGCCGGGAGTTTATAAAACAAATTTATTCGTGAGACCTCGCGTTCCCTTGTGCTTCAGCTTCGCAGCTGACGAGAATTTACCTGGGGAATGTCCGTCACAAGATCAAGCGTTATCAGAACGGACGATTCGCGGAAGATTGTTCGAACAAAGTTCACTCGTTCCTAAATCGAATTGTTCCTCGTTCTTCGTTGTTATCCCACAACAGAGAACGTCCTTCGTTGTTGACGAGCAACAGAGAACGGTCTCAAAGCCCGTGGGATCAAAACTGTGGCGTTTCAAGGAAGTTTCGAGCCGAGGAAAGAAATTCAAAACCGCGCTTCGCGTTACAAACACAGAACTTAAGTTTCGAAAACAGAATCTCAATAAGCTGCTTACATATATTATCCTCGTATTTATCAACGACCACAAATATGCGAAGAATGTTATCCCTCTCTTCCCCCCTCTCGTTTCCCAAGTCCTTCTGTACTCTCTTCCTTTTTCTCATCCCGCAAAATATCTCGTCTACTGGGAAATTGGAAATCCGCGAAATTCACAACGAACACGCGTTCGCTAGTCTCACGTTGCAGAAATTTGTTATCAGGCTCTCTGAATCACACAATCGCGACTCTTCATTGAGGAGAGCCGATCGCGAGGACGTCCGACCGACCTAGCAACTGATTGAAGACAGTTCTTGAGGACAATCTCGCCTCGATTGCGATAACAGATGAGTTGAGAAGAGAAATTGAAACGATAAATAAAAAGGGACTTACGCGAGACTCAAAGCGACGAATCAGTTGAGCTTTCTCACGATTTCTTTTCGACGAAGACCTCGAGATCAAGTCAGACACAAAACCTTCTGGAGGAGCCAGAGCGTTCGCGTCTCGTCGAGCCGATTTGAGCCTCGCGCGATTCAACGACAAGTTGTGCAGAACTTACTTAACGTATGACGATCGCCATCCCTGTCGGCATAGTCCCGATCGACGAGAATTTTCTTGAGAAGTCCGTAGTCCTTTCGCGTCCTCCCTGTAGTTCTGACCCTTATCAGCGTGCAACGATGATCGGTATCAGGTGTGAAGCGAAACAAACCGTCTTCTCGTCGTGAGGACAGCGTCAATCACGTTTAAGATCCGCGTCAGATGGACGACGCGACCGGATTGCGACCTGCACATGTACACACGTCGCCACGTCGTAAGGTGTTCACTTCTAGTAATCTGATTTCTAATCGGATTGGAAGCAGTGATATCAACCGACTTCAGAGAAAGTTCCCTAGGCTAATCGGATTAATGAGATATGTCCTCAAAGCGCTCCGATTATCCGTTTTATCACGCAAGATGTATCGATAATTATGCAAGTTTTCGTTAACAAATACTCCAGAAAAAACATTTTGGGTGTAAAAAACGTAAAAAATCAAATAGCAAAAGCACAAGAGGTAAAGGTTTACAAAATCTGAATTTACACTACCTGCATGAAAGATTTAGATGAACAATCGTATGAATTATCGCGTGTCGTTGAAAGCGTTCGATAGCATGACTCGTAAAAGAAGGTTCAAAGTGTTTCAAAAAACAACAAAAAGTTAGAAATGGTCTTTTAACTCATTCAGGTTTACTATACCTAAAAAACTGGCGCCAACCTGCCTGGTAAACGATACTTTTTACCCATCAGCGCTTTACTCCCCGATACCTATAGTATTCTTAAAAAGCGTTTAAAAAACACACAGTAGCTTCGACAGTAACGTGAAAAAAAATAAACTACCGACACGTTAGCACAAAGTGTTAACCTGATCGATCTGTCGTCACCGACGATCCTCACTCGTCACGTTCCGAGAAACAGGTGTATTTCTATCCGCTCAATTATAAATTGAATAAATTGACATAGTCAATTTAGATTTTGACAGAAATAGGGCCATTAAGAGCTGATGTTGGATGTTTTGTGCAAATGTCTATGATGGGAAGGATAATAATGTTTGTAGTATCAAACGTACGCGCCGAAATGATTTTTCGGTCTTTATAATGTATGCGATGAATCAATCTTCCAACACGGAAAAAAGGTTTGGTTGAATTAACCAAATATCTGGTCGAAGGTTTGGTTGAATTAACCAAATATCTGGTCGAATATGAACAATCTAGAAATTCCGATTGAACTAATGAATTCTGTTTAAGTCAAGCAGAAACTTTTTAACTTGAACAGAACTTGAGTTACTTCAATCGGAATTTCTGGATCGTTCATATTCGACCAGAATTTGGTTAAATCAACCAAACCTCTTTCCCGTATTGGAAGATTGATTCATCGCGTATGTTATAAAGACCGAAAAAATTATTTCGGCGCGTGCGTTTGACACAACAAACATTATTATCCTCCACATCATAGACATTTGCACAAAACATCCGGCAGTGGCTTTTAATGGCTTTATTCCTGTCAAAATAGGGTCAAATTAAATGTTACCTATAGAGAGCTTTAATGATATTTATAGCCAATTTAAATAACAGATTGAAATAAGAAATTAAACTAATTTGATAAAAATCAATCATGTTAACTAAGTAAGATAAAACCAAATTAGCTATGTTTAAAAAGGAAGCAAATATGAAAGTACTAACGGAATCTGAACAAAACAGGATTTGTCTTGGAAATAGCGTCACTGCAGAAGAGAAAACTGAAAGGGAAGATAACATCATCGATAAGTTATCGAGCGCATTATTGACAGACAAAATACTTGAAAATTTAATCGCGGGATATAAAGTTTATTCACAGAAATAAACTTTCATTGAGTCAGTAAAATTTTTGGCGACGAACTTTTTGCAAGTCGCGATATCATCCAAGTTCAGTGTTTATAGTTATAGCGAGTCATTTGCGATCTTCGATCAGTAATTGATTACAAATCGTACGATCAAGCGATCAAAATTCCTCTAAACAATTTTCAGTTACGCTCTCTTTTTCCCTGCCTTTTTCTTTCTTACTAATATACATCTTCACAAATTGTACCTTTCTTTCTTTCAAAAGGTTATTGTTTGCAAGGGAACCTTGGTCTTATTTTTTGAATAAATAATGGAAGGGATGCGCTCCTGCTGCGATGTAAAACTCGTTCTCTCGTAAAGCTTGTAAAGAGCATGACAAGGTTTTGTATTGCTCGAAATATGGAGCGAGCTCTGTGCTTTCGTTTCGGCAACACAATTTGCGTTCTTTACTTATACAAAAGGGTCACCAGAGAAATTAAAGCCGATGTATTTGTTCCTAAGCTTCGGAACGCGTTCTAGGGACAATAAAATATATTTTTCTGCGTTAACCTTGACTCTCGCGTGGAGATGTGAAAGGGATTAGATGGCGGCAGTTGTTTAAAGGTTGCTACTCTTTCTCCCGCTCAGATATGAAAAATGGGTTGCGCGCTTTCTGTAGAATTTTTTTAGTCAATCACAACGTCGTGTGCAACAAATGTCGATATAAAAGGTCTGTCCCTTGAAATTATACTTTTCAGACTATCTCGTGTTCTTGTTATTTTCTTCTCTCTCTTTCTCTCCCTGTCACTCTCTATTACTCTCTCTTTCTCTGCCTCCATTCCGCTGCTTCTATCCTAGTTGAATATTTATGACAAGGTTTTAGCTAAAAAGATACTTCAGAGAGGTTAAAGCTGCTCTATAAGGTATTTGTACACACGAACTACTCCTTACTCCTTACTCCCTACTCCTACTACACTCCCTTAATACAGGAACAAGAGTCAAATGGATCGCAAAGATCGTTTTGTTTCATCTCTTGCATCTGCTTTACTTATACAAAATTAGAATACCACATAGCGCGTGCCACTTTAGCATTTTTGTTGTACTATTTACAAGCGGCACGAATTCAACTGCGGATCGAGACAATCGAAACGGTCGAGACGGCCAATTAGCGTCGCGGAAAAGAGGCCACTTCGATACACTCGAGATTTAGTTAACACGCACTTTTTCTGGTAGGATATGCTAATTTATACAAGTTAAATGTATAAAATATATAATCTAAAATGTACAGAAATTTATAATTTCTTTTCTTAATTCTACAACATTTTATACATATATATATATATAATTCCATATTATTTTCTTTATATTAACTATTATTTTATCGTTCGATACAATGAGAATAAAAGGCAAATGAGAGTCAAAAATCGTCAGTGTAATAGCGAGAAAGTTAATGTGAATAATCCAAATTTTTTACGAAAATTAACAAAAATTACAAAAAATCCGCGAACGTTTCAGACTAAAGATGACTCGGAATGAGTCTGAAACGTTCGCGATTTTTTGTAATTTTTGTAAAAAATTTGAATCATTCACATCAACATTTTCGCTATTACACCGGAAATTTTTGATTCTCATTTGCCTTTTATTCTCCTTGCATCGAACGATTATATATTAACCGAGTCTTTACATATACTTTACATATACTTTACATATACTCTACATATTACTTAATATTTACATAAATGTTACTTTACGTTATGTGCTATAATATTATTTTATTTACATTAATTTCGTGGTTAGCATCGAATGAAATGAGGAGGACTCATGCTCGGCGTCGAAAGAGTATCGGTATGCTCGTAATTACTAGTCCTACCATACCTTCTCCTTTCATAGTCTTTCAACCGTGCAATGAGCTGATGCTCGCGATCTTGTGCTGTTTGAAACACTTATTCTCGAAGATGTGCAAATTAAATTTTTGCATGTTGCCGTACGAAGTACCGCACATATTGCACGTGAAGGGCTCCACGATGCTGTGATAACGCGCGTGTGCAATGTATACCGTCTGGTCGGGGAACGGTATATCGCAGTGTAAGCACACGAAGCGATCCTGGCTGCTGGGCGATTCGCTCTGCGTCGATGTCCCCTCGTACTTCTGACCCGGGCACGCAGAGTCGCCGGCAGAGTCCTTTCCCGGGGAGGACGACGGTGCCGTCGACGCGGCTATGACCGAGGTTGACGGAGTGGGAGCCGCCACGAACGAGGTCGACGGAATGGACGTGGCCTGTGGCGAGGCCGACTGGCAGAGTCGCTTCTCATTCTGCATCGTCTCCTCGTCCGTGTCCTCTTCCTTTCCCACTATCCGATGCTTGGTGACGACGCCCTTACGTCTCCTTACGGTACCAGCTACCTTCGGCAAGTTCATCATATTCAACGATGACTGATGATGCGTCAGCTTGCTAGCGTCGAACTCCTTCCTCAGCGAGGGATTTATCCTCAAGTCCAACGGCGTGATCTCGATTGTGGAGCCTTCGAGACTCTTGTACTTGTCGACCTTCGCGGTACTCGTCGCTGGAGTCGTCATTTTCTTTTCTGCGCCTTCGGAGCTCTGCAGTTCCGCTTTGTCGCTGGGCGCCGCTATCTTCGAAGTTTCGTTGCAGCCGGAACTGCTGCTTGGCAATAGCTGCGTCTCCATGTTCAGCGTGAATAGATACCGTTGGAACGAAAAATGGGGCATTTCCTGGTTCGTTTGCTCGTCTTTCTGTTTCATCAGGTTGTTACCCCTTCTGAACATTTTGGTTAACGTGACGCCTGAGGTGAACGAGGGCACTTTTACGGACGCCGATCCAGACGACATTGACGACAACGCCTGCGATGACATTTGCGATGCCGTCGATGTGGACGGCTGGACGTTGTCGTTGCTGTTGCTGTTGTTACTTTCGTCACCGCTGGCCATCGTTTGCGTGGCGGTGCTCGTGCTCGGCTCTTCCGTCGCAGTGGCTGTCGATCTCGACGTTTTACTGTCGCTGATCTTTGGCCTCTGCTTAGGACCGCGTCTCGTGCCGTACACATCGATCACCGCCGGGCTCAATGTGCCATCCACGTTGAGTATTGCCGCTGGCTTGTGGTTAAGCTTTCGCAGATGTTGCTTGAGCGTGTGGCAGTATTTGGTGACGTAGTCGCAATCCTTGCATCTATATTGATAGACGCTCGAGTGCGACTTCATGTGACTGTTGAGCATAGCCTTGTTCACACATGTGTACCCGCATATGGTACACTTGTACGGCTTCGCACCAGTGTGATTCAACAGGTGGTACTGAAGATGATGTTTGTACTCAGTCACGAATGGGCATCTGTAGCAAGACATCAGCTTGCTCGATTTAATATGGGTCCGTATGTGACTCCAGTACTCAAGTTTTGTCACCGTCTTGAAATCACAATGTTTGCAAGAGAAGGTCTTCACCTTGCGTTGGGTGTTGGTGCGGGGCTCTGCAGCACATTTGTCTTCGTCTTGGTTGTCATTCCTTGACGACGTGGAGTGCTTTTCCTGGTTATGGAAGTGCCGCAGCTGGTTTAATGCTATGTTGATGAGTTTCACGCTGTTGCTAGTTTTCGACGAGATGTGTTTAGTCAAATGTTGAATGATGTCTTGCCTGGAAGAAGGAACGATACGATATCGTATGATTAAATGATCTCATCCCGTTGCGAATCATTTTGCAACATGCCTTTCTTTTCAGAGAAGCAAAATCCCTCTTAAATTAAACCGAAATTATAGAAAGTTCCTTTTTAGAATAACTAACAGTAAGATTTGAAGAGGCAAATAAGGAACAAGCACGGATGTCTTAGTGTTATTAAATACTAATATTACTTTTATATAATATTAATATGATAGTGGGAGGATAATTATGTCCAGCATGTCAAACGCACGTATCAAAATTTTTCTTCGATTAACGTACGCGGCGAATCTACCTTTCATACTTAGACCGATCTTTGAGTCCCAATTTTATATATATATATATATATTTAAAATTCCCAAACCCATTAAACCGATGACTCAAATAGATTTATTATATATGTTGCAAAAAAAAATCTCAAATAGATTCATTATATATGTTTCGATACGTGCGTTTGATATACTGGACATAATTATCCTCCCACTATCATATTAATATTATATAAAAGTAATATTAATATTTAATAGCACTAAGACATCCGTGCTTGTTCCTTATTTGCCTCTTCAAATCTTACTGTTAGTCCCTCTTAAATGTAAAGGACAATAAGAGTTAAAGCACAGTTCTAATAGTGCTATTAAAACTATTAAAAACAGTGACTCAATCTCTAATGAGAAGAAATTTATTAATCATCAAACAATCAAACGCGTTTTGGTTTAACTTCACAGACTATCTTCAGTGATTATAAATAAAAAACGAATTATATTTAAACGTAAGGTCGCAAATAATCGGTACAAAAGTTGTTGTTACAAAAGTTGTCGATACAAAATTTGCTTACGGAAATCGGAAGCACGAACGCAGACAAATACAAATAGTCATTAAGACAAAGAAACCTCTCCCTGCAAATTTTGTATTGACAATTTTTGTAACAACAACCTTTGTACCGATTATTTGCGACCTTACGTTTGTGACATTTAAATATAATTAATTTTTTATTTATAATCACTGAAGATGGTCTATGAAATTAGACCGAAATGCGTTTGATTGTTTGATGATTAATAAATTTCTTCTCATTAGAGATTGAGTCACTATTTTTAATAGTTTTAATAGCACTATTAAAACTGTGCTTTAACTCTTATTGCCCTTTACATTTATATCAATATTGATTATACTCAAGAAGATTTTTTATTTCTTTTAGTTAAAATCCCTCTTATTTGAAAGTGTTTGTTCGAACTATTTCATACTTTAATGCACCGCGTGTTATATTGAGAAAAGATACTTGAAAAATACATGTAGGTGGCAATAATAGAATCATCATCATATTAATTAGTTACCTTAATCAAGACTTAGTTAAAGTTTTATTACAGCTAATTTTGCTACGAACATCTCTTCCGAGTTAATAGAAGAGTTGAAAAATAAGAGTTAAAAGTAATATGAAATAGTATCTTATCGCGCTTTTATCGAGCGCGTTAATAACATATTAAACGCTCTCATTAAGAGCAATTGACGTACCTATTGCGTGTAGCAAAGTCGCAAAGCGAGCATTTATCCTGCAAGTTGGCGTTGGAAGGCCCCTCGCCCGGGTCGTAGTTCTCCGACATGATATCCTGTTGCAATTTGGATTTCTGGAACTGCGAGCTGTCTTCAACCATCTTCTCGTCGTAGGGACAGCGTCAAACACGTTTACGATCTTTCAGATGGACGACGCGATCGAATTGCAATCTGCATATGTACACACGCCGCCACTGTCGTAGTATGTACGTATAAATATTTCGGTGTATTTTACAAACTTATATGTATGCACACGCGTTCAAGAGAGTGCGACGTAAGCAGCTATCCGCAAGAGCGTTCTACTTCAACTCACAGCGAAATATTTCGTTCTGAATATTGGAAGCCTTCTAGGTCATCTGATTGTATATATCCTGGTCACTAAGGGGTAGTTACCACCTCTACCTTTCTGGTCTAAGGCCAGCCCTAGTCGTCTGTCCAATAATAGTAGGGTAGTAGATTAGTCATAGGGATGCTAGCGTCACAAATATCGCCTACTCCTCCCCACTCTACCTGTCTTGACCTATAGAGTTTGCTCTAATTCTCTTTCACGTTTTTTCTCTCACCTATTCTCTAATTTTCTCATTTATGCATACATGTGGGTCATTCGTCCTTGCGGTCCTTGCACCCCCATTATCGCGCGGGCCTCGCGCGTTTAGCTAAACATCATTATCCCTTACGCTAAGCAGCACCAGCTCGTTCACTGCGGACGATTCGCGGCTGTGCTTTACCGTTAGGCAACTTCCGTTACCTTTTTTTGTTCTTCTTTTTTATATCTAGGAATTCTGCTTTGATCTTCCTCTCTTTTTTGTCTTAATCTTTGCGTGCGAATCTCCGGAATTTTCACCATACGATATTGAACGCACGTGAGAAAATTCTACACTGTTAGAAAAGTTTTTAAAAATAATAGCATTTTTGTAAGTAAATTTAAGAATTTGATATTAAAATTAATAATAGTGAAGATTTTCATAACATTAGGATTATTAGTTATAAATTAGAGTTATAATATTTCTTATTTCTTATGAAATCTAATCTTTTCTATCTTCTATGCCATGTTTTCTTATTAAATTCTGTATTAAATTATAAAACATCATAACACATAAGAAAAGTTTTTAAAAATAATAGCATTTTTGTAAGTAAATTTAAGAATTTGATATTAAAATTAATAATAGTGAAGATTTTCATAACATTAGAATTATTAGTTATAAATTAGTTATAATATTTCTTATTTCTTATGAAATCTAATCTTTTCTATCTTCTATGCCATGTTTTCTTATTAAATTTTGTATTAAATTATGAAACATCATAACACGTTATATTTTATGAAATTTTTCTAATATGTTAAATCGTCCGTAAGAATCACATCGAGTCAACGTCAGCTTCCACTTTTATTCGTAGAGATTACTGGCATATCTCGAAATCGAAGAATTTTGTGTCACATTTTACACAAAGATGCAACAGCGGTTTTCAGCGGTGAGTTATCCGATGTTAAACTCTGTTCTTCCAGAAATTTCGTTCTGCCTGATTTTCCCACAATTTTTGACTAACTTAAAAAGGAGTACATAGAAAAGTTTCATCTTCGAATACAACGCACGGTGTTTCCAATTGAGTGTGCAAAAATTGCGCGACTCTGCGGGATCTAGTTTTTACTTTGGCATCTCTTTTAGGATCGTGACTTTTAGGGAAAAAGGGGAATGTGAAAAGGTTGATGTCAATCGGCTACAAAGCATTAGAAAGTGAGTCCAATTTGTTCAATACTTCTTCGTATGAAGTAAGTCGCCTCATTTATATATTACTCTCGTTTTTCTTTATAGTTCAGCATCCTTTTCTTATTATATATTTTACGAAGGTTACATGTGCAGAGGTAATTGTTGTTCTGACTGTTGATGATGATTAATGATTGTGTTGCTCGAAAAATTGTATGGAAAGTGCATGACTAGCGAAAATAATGAAAATAATGAAACCAAGAGGTCATGTCAAGTCAGTTCAGCAAAGCTGAACATTCATACTGGTTACAATTGTAGCGTGAATAATTGTGAAATAAGGTTACTTGACCGTAGGTATTTACCTTTTACTGCATTTCGAAGGGATTCTTGAAGAAAAAGACCAAACTGTTTGGCACTTATTGCTTATTTTTTACATATTTTTATGTATATTTTTTATATATTATTTTAAATATGTATTTTTTTAATATTTATATAAATTAAATAGTTTAAATAGTTTTAAAGTTTTATAATTTTTATAAAACTCTTTAAAATATAACAAGTAAAACTGATTCACTTTTGAAGATATTCTTCGAGACGGTGAAGAAAAACAGAAATTTCACGCCATGAAAGGTTACGTGTGCAGGTACCTAAGCAAAGAAAATTTTATTAATGATGTGCTCGATTTTAAGGTCCATGTCAAATTAGACTTTTTCAACAAAAAATATTTAAGTCAAACGGAGTGAATTTTCACTGTCAGTAGTATTATTCAATAAAAATCGTTCCCACGGTATTCTTTCATCTTAAAAGTAATAAAAATAACACAATAACAATAACTATAATATTATTATCGTTTATATTTAATTTAACTTACATTTATTTATTTTTTGTTTTATGAATTTGTTATTATAATTGTTAAGTGAGCTATTATTAATGATAACAATTAGCTGACTGATATATTAAATATTATGATTCAAATATTTTTAGCTCAAACGTCTTCTACGTGAGTACTGTTTCCTAGCCGAAAATAACAGTATCCGAGCTTGGCCAAGATCACGCCGTTACTTGATTAAGTTGAATAAGCTTTCCACTATGTTGCTGAGCACGCTTGAGCGCTCAGAGTGTTACCTCTTTCGTTTCCTTAATTCAACAATTAGTAAATAGGCAATCATGATTATCCGTTTTATCACGTACGATGCATTGATAATTATGCAAGTTTCCGTTAGTAAACACTTCAGAAAAAACATTTTTGTGTAAAAAACGTAGAAAATCAAGTAGGGCACAAGACACAAGGGGTAAGGGTTTATAAAATCTGAATTTACACTACCTGCACGAAAGATTTAGATGAACAATCGTATGAATTATCTGTCGCGTGTAGTTGAAAGCGTTCGATAGCATGGCTCGTAAAAGAAGGTTCAAAGTGTTTAAAAAAACAACAAAAAGTTAGAAATGGTCTTTTAACTCATTCAGGTTTACTATACCTAAAAAACTGGCGTCAATCTGCCTTGTAAATGATACTTTTTACCCATCAGCACTTTACTCCCCGATACCTATAGTATTCTTAAAAAGCGTTTAAAAAACACACAATAGCTTCGACAGTAACGTGAAAAAAAATTAACTATCGGCACGTTAGCACAAAGTGTTAACCTGATCGATCTGTCTTCACCGACGATCCTCACTCGTCATCTTCCGAGAAACAGGTGTATTTCTATCCGCTCAATTATAAATTGAATAAATTGACATAGTCAATTTAGATTTTGACAGAAATAGGGCCATTAAGAACTGATGTTGGATGTTTTGTGCAAATGTCTATGATGGGGAGGATAATAATGTTTGTAGTGTCAAACGCACGCGCCAAAATGATTTTTCGGTCTTTATAATGTACGCGATGAATCAATCTTCCAACACGGAAAAACAGGTTTGGTTGAATTAACCAAATATTTGGTCGAATATGAACGATTCAGAAATTCCGATTGAACTAATCCGAATTCTGTTTAAGTTAACCAAAAATCTTTTTAACTTAGACAGAATTCGGGTTACTTCTATTGGAATTTCTGGATTGTTCATATTCGACCAGATATTTGATTAATTCAACTAAACCTTTCTTTCCGTGAAGCAGTTACTGAGGCAGTATTTTTCGCAACTCAATAATGGAATCAATGCGCATGGGAAAGTATAAAAATAAGGGGGGTTTTTAATAATTATAATAATTATAGAAAAATATTAGGGGATTTAGAGTCGATTTGTAAGTGGAAGATTGATTCGCGTACGTTGTAAAAACCGAAAAATCATTTTGGCGCTAATGTTTAACACTACAAACATTATTATCTTTCCAATCATAGACATTTGCACAAAACATTCAGCATTAGCTCTTAATGGCCTTATTCCTGTCAAAATAGAGTCAAATTAGGTGTTACCTACAGAGAGTCTTAATGATATTTATAGTCAATTTAGATCACAGATCGAAATAAGAAATCAAACTAACTTGATAAAAATCAATCAAGTTAAATGAGTAAGATAAAACCAAATTACTTATGTTTAAAAAGAAAGCAAATATGAAAGTACTAACGTAATCTGCACAAGACGGGATGTGTTTTGGAAATAGCGTCACTGCAGAAGAGAAAACCGAAAGGGAAGATACCATCATCGATAAGTTATCGAGCGCATTACTAACAGAAAAAATACTTGAAAATTTGATCACGGGATATAAAGTTTATTCACAGAAATAAACTTTCATTGAGTCAGTAAAATTCTTGGCGACGAATCTTTTGCAAGTCGCGATACCATCCAAGTCCAGTGTTTATAGTTATAGCGAGTCATTTGCGATCTATAATCGATCAATAATTGATTATAAATCATACGATCAAGCGATCAAGATTCCTCTGAACAATTTTCAATTATGCTCTCTTTTTTCTGCCTCTTTCCTTCTTACTAATAATCATCTTCACAAATTGTACTTTTCTTTCTTCCAAGAGATTGTTGACACCAAGGATATCTTGCCCTCAATTTTTGAATAAATACGTAAAGGGAGACATGTGCGCTTCTGTTACTCGGTGTGAAACTCGTTCTCTCGTAAAGCTTGTAAAGTGGATAAGGTTTCGTATTGCTCGAAATATGGAGCGAGCTCTGTGCTTTCGTTTTGACAATACAATTTGTATTGTCAAAACGTTGCATACGTTCTTTACGTATGCAAAAGGATCACGAGAGAAGCCAAAGACGTATTTGTTCCTAAACTCCGGAATGCGTTCTAGGGACAATGAAATGTAAACAGAAATTATAGAAAACTCCTTGACTAACTAACAGAAATATTTGAATGGCTTACAAGGAGCCAAGCACAGATGCTTAGTGCCATATTAATATAACTTTAATAACATTAATATGATGCCGGTAGCCGGTGCCGGTCGCCGGAGACCATCATCATTTCATAATTTAAAGAAACTCTCGAGACAGCTCTCGCGGAGGTCTTATTGCTCTTTGCGGAGAAAGAAATAAACAAAACAGAAAAAAATAGAAAAGAGGAAAGGGTAAGAACCGAGGTAGTCTCGCCTTGACGAAGTATCATGCGCACGAGGGGATCGTCGTGTTTACCTTTTAGAACGTAAAATATGTAATATGACTTTATAATAAATAAATATTTCGCTACGATATCTACGTCCGCTACAATGACACGTCCATCTCTTCCTTCTTAGTCGTGTCCTTCGTTCGAGACCCGACAGACAATCTCGAAAGAATATTTGATTTATTTCAGTCGAATCCAATTCAATAACTTCTTGATTATCAAAGATACGCTTGATATCAAATTATTAATATTTTTTAATATCATCAATCAAGTACGCTCTTTCTTTTCTTATGGAGGAAATACTTTAACGTCAAGTATACAAATGAAATAGTCAAATCATGGACATTTCGTTGATAATGCGACTATTCACGAGAAAAAAATATAACATTATCAGTAACTGAACTTGACTAACATTACAAATTGAGAACCGCGAAGGAACCTGACGAACGTATGTAGTATTACCTACATGCGTACAATCACGCTTTCAGATTCCTTGCTACAAATGCGTATCCGGTATCGGTAAAGGGCAAAGTATCGTGGACCATACGTTGACACTGAAGTTGTGAATGTACTGCCAAGCTACAAAGTCCGGCGATTCTACGTACTCCAACCAGTAGCGCGCCATATTGTTGTAGATCTTTGGAGTCCACGTCTGCAATAAGGAATTCTTAGCCAGTTGATTGAAAAGCTGCTAGAAATGATCATTTGAACACCACAGATTTCCACAGGACATCTTAAAGACGTTCTGAGAACGTCCCCAGGACATCCCCCGGAGATTTTGTGCTGTCTGAACTTGTTCGTCTACAATTTCGAAGGATCAGTCAATCCAGTTATAGATTCGTTGAATATAATTACTTATTCGGCCAGAAACGGCTCGCGATGAGGTTATCTTAGAGGGCAATTGACCAAACAGAAGAGTATCTATATTTATTTGGAACGGCTGATGGATGTTATACCCTCTCGTTCTGTATACTCCACGCCTCGACGAGCTTATTTCCTTGTGCGCTCGCGAGTCTCCGTGCTTTTCGCAGATAAAATCGCCCGGCTGACTTGCGGCCCCAGATGACATTCAAGTACGCTGTCAATAGATAAGAACGCGGCTTCACCACCGTCGCATAGCTGGAGACCTTATCGAGACGTCTGACGATCCTGTGAACGTCTCGAACTCGATCGATCAGCTCTTCAGAATGCTTCATATTGATGCAGCGTAGCAACATTAGCAGATAGTACTCCAGGCCCTATGAAGACGCGCAGTTGCAGAGGACCGCGATTAAAATATAATTAATGGAAATTTAAATTAGCGAAAGAATTAATTGGAGATTGCTAAATTTTTGCAAATTTTTTGCAAAATTCTTGCAAAATAAAATAAAAAGACGCATGTTTTTAAAGCTAATTTTTTATTTTTCCGCTATTTTCTTCATAAGAACGTATTAATATCGCTCGGGAACGTGTTTAAAACGTGTTCCCGACACTTTAACTTAAAAAATATGCCATGGGTATTTTTTCAACAAACATGGTGGTACCAAAATGGTCGATTTAAAGTGTTTAATTCGAATTTTCGTTTATATTTGGTTATCGAAATTGTTTTACTATGTAATTACTATGTAAATTACTATGTAATTTTGTAGTAATATTTATTCTAAAACAACTTCGATAACCAACTTCGAAAACAAAAATTCGAATTAAACGCTATAAATCGATCACCATTTTGGTTCATTTTGTAATATTACGTATATATTACGTTTATATTATTATGACCCTTTCTTATTTTTTAATCGCATGTGACGTAATACTAAGGAAGAAACATCTTTTATTTCGCGCACCTTGCAGCACGTGAAAACCCGAGTAAAATCGCGATCGCGATCCACACCTTCCACGTACTCGTCCACATTGCACACAGTTGTGTCGGTGAGCGTGTGTCCCCTGCGACGTTTTTCAGTTAGCCACGATCATCTCGTGTTATATCGTTGCTGTTTGTGTTGACGGCATTTTCCACTTTCAGAAAGCGGAGGCTGAGCGTCAAATACTTACATCCTGAGTTGGTAGATCCACAGGCACGTCACCAAGCGGCGGCAGCTTTGCGGGTCGCGCGTCACGTAGGACTTCGATCTGTAAGCTACACAAATAATTATGTTTAATTCTCGCGAAGCTCAGCGTGCATTCCTGCGAGTCGTCTCGTCATTGGTTTCCTTTTTCTTACCTATGAACTTCTCGTAATAATTGAGAGACGTCTCGTACGACTCCAGGAGTACACCAGCGTCGACCAAGAGCTCTAAGGAGAGAGCGTAATACCAGGTCTTGGCGGACAGATCCACGTCCTCCTCCGCTATAAAGTACAGCTCCGCCATCAGGTCGACGGCCTGGTTGATACGTTTGGTCCATAGCTGAACAAATTTTCGAGTTTAATCGCGAATCTTAGCCAGTGGCGTAGCCAGAGGAAGGACTGAGAGAGCTATAGCCCCTCCAAAATTAATTTTCTGGGTTACGCTAAGTGTGAGAAAAATTTTTTCGAATGACCTTTTTTTGCTTTTTTCGTCAAAAATAAAAAGTGCAGTCCTTCTCGAAATTTTTTTCTGGTTACGCCACTGATCTCAGCATATCGACGAGAACGAAATGTTCGAACGAACCGATTATAAATTCATTACCATTATTTCAATTAACGACGGCATAATGACTAACGACAAGTCGTTTAGGTGTAATGTTCGGGATATCCTCAAAACTTTGACACCCATGTCTACAGCATCCTCCAACTCACCCTTTAACGCTCTGCTCTTTCGGAGAGACTCCGATGTTAGAACTTTTGCTAAACGTAATTTTAGAGGAAACTTTTCCAGAGGTATCGAGATAACGCTAAGCTTTACCTGACTTGATACATCGCGAAGTAGATCTTGGCCAGCATCGCTATCTCCTCGACGTTGTTCCAACCGAACTTCGTCTCTATCACAGTCAACATCGGTTTCTCGATGTATCGCGTGAACTTGTTGTTGTCGGTGCGACAGGTAACTCGAACGGCCGCCAGATATGTCTCGCCTTTCTCCAGGAAACCGTCGAAGCTCGGAAAGCTCGCTTTGAAACTTTGCAGGGCGAACAGCTTCGCCGCTTTCATTCTGCCTTCTCTCTAAAACATTTTGAACATTGACGATCGTCGTGTGCTACTTTGGCATATGTACTGTCAATAAATACAGTTGTTAGGTATAGAGCCTCCACTTTTCGAAGAAGAATTGCAAAATTAACTTTCAAGTAGAAAATCGCAGAGTCACTGTTAATCCCATGCGTTTCCGTTGATAAAAAAATCACTTCCAATGTAATGACTTCAACTTTGACAAACATTATTTACAAAGAAACACACACAAGTGTCCGCCTCCGATTTTCATCAACTTGTAATATAAATTTATACTTTAGATCAAAATAACAGATACGTTTTTTATTATATGTGCTCTTTTGCAAGTTTAAGGGGTGAAATACCTCTTTGAAAAAATCGGTTTTTTTCATTCAAAGAGAATATAATGAAAACTATTTGAGATAGAAACAAATATTTTGAATAAAAGTTGAATGCTTTGAAGACTACTTCACAGAATTTATTTGAAAAAAAAAAAATTTTTTGTTAATATTTTTCCCACCACTTCTTCTTATTATAATTATTAAAAAATTTCTGTAAAGTACTTCAAACCATTCAATTTTTATTAAAAATATTTTTTTCTATCTCTTATAGTTTTTATTATATTCCCTTCGAATAAAAAGACCGATTTTCTTCAAAGGGGTATCTCACCCCCTAAACTTGTGAAAGGGCACACATAATAAAAAACGAGTATCTGTTATTTTGATCTAAAATACAACAATTATAAGTTCATGAAAATTGGAGGCGGACACTTCCCTTAGGAAAAATTACTTTAAGTTGTTCAAATTAACTTAAAGTTGCTTAAAGTTATTTAAAGTGATTTATAATTAACTATAAATTACTTTAAGTAACTGTAAGCAACTTTAAGTTAATTTGAAGTAATCTTAAAGTAATTTCTCCTAAGGATGTGGGTTTCCTTGTTGGTTTGACAGTCAAGTTAGTTTTTTGTCAAGATAAAATCGCTTCAAAGTTATGTGATCTCGAATTGAGAATTTTATTTGATAAAGAATTTGTGAAAAAGGAAATCCCTTTTGATACATCACCGCGAGCGCAAGACAAAGTCGTCGTGTGTAAGACGCCAATTCCAGCCTCTTCGTTGCCTGTCGTGCTGATTTCTCGTTAGTCATATCATTAGAAAGATCGTAAAATTCCCGGTGAATTTTCATGGTCATCAGCGGACCGCAGCACACGACTTTGTGTATTTTCAAAGGGGCCCCCTGCAGCGTTACCGCCGCCTCATAAGATCTGTAAGCCTGAGCGTAATTACCCAAAGCACTGTGCGCGTCCCCTGAGGAGCGAGACAAGGAGTGAGAGAGATACTGACAAAGAGAGAAGTACTTGAAAATTCTTTTGCAGAATATAAAGTTTATCTCACAAAAATAAACTTTATATCCCACAAATAAATTTTCAAGTATTTTCTTTTAGTTTATCAGTAAGAATGTTTACTGAGAGAAAAATATTTGATGCGTGCAACTATAATCACAAGAAAATAATCACTAAAACTTCTTCTTCTTTAAAATGACCCGGAACTCCTATTCCATTAGCCAGACTAAATCTAACTATAAATTATGTTCAAGAAATTTACTATTTTACTAAATTTTGCTATAATAATAACCTTGTATATGTCAATATTAACATTTTTATATGTATTTGGGGCCAGAAGTAACTATAATTTTAGATTCATCAGTCACATTCTCTATTCTAAAAACAGAAACAATTTTAATTTCCAATATGTGAAAGGCATTTTTACGATAGTTTATTAAAATATTATATATAATATATACTTTGTGATAAAATATAAAGTATAAAGAAAGAAAAAGAATTAAAATATCATACGATGTGACATTATATCGACATACCTATCAAGGCTAGAATAATTCCTCTGTTCATGACGCTTTCTTCCGCGTTATCGTTGACTCTAGCAGTCCTCTCGTTCTTCTCGGCGGCGATTACGAGCAGCTTGATAGCGTGGGACGGTTGCGCTATTTGGATCAGCCCGGAGCTATACTCCATGAGAAAGTTGATTATCTTGTTGACCTCGCCTGAAAGATTAATTTAAAGTCGATAATTGAACAGTTTTTTCTTTTGTTTTCTTGTAACAAAGTCGTAATTGCACCGCTGTTCTCGATGTGCTGATGCAACCTCCAGAAAAGGCAACTGATGACGCCGTCGCATCGACAATTGCGGTAATCTATGTGACTAAACGCGTCCAAGTAGTCGGACCGGTTGTGATTTCTCGCGGTTTCTGGTGCGACGCTCGTAGAGACGCGTCTCCAGAATCTTGACGAGCCGCTGATCGAACTTTCCCCGATCTCCTCGCTTCTCAGTGTTAACGTAGAAGTATCTAATTAAAAAACTCTCGATTCACAGACAAACCTTGTGGCGAATTTGGCCGGAATTCTCTCTAATTCGATTTCAATTCGATTTATACTGCAATTCTAGAAAAAATCGTAAAACTCGTAACTTGTTCTCGTAAGACTCGCAAGAACTTATGAGTAGATCTGCAATTTTATGCGGACCATATGATAACTCGTAAATATTTACGATTTTTTTTTTCGTAAGCTATGATTTTACGATTTTATGATTTACTCGTATATTTGCTTAGAATTGCAGCATTAATGTCAACTCGAAACCAGAAACTATCGCGATTGGCCACCTTCGTCCTCGTCGACGTGGTCGAGATACGTCGGCATGATTGACACTCTGGGAGTGTCGTTGACGGATTCTTGCCTCCTCGCCGCGGAGAATTTGCTTCGTTCCGCGACAAATGACTTCTTCCTGTTCCACGGATCCGTGAAAATCATTTTACGACGTGCCAACAATATTCTGGCCGTTTGTATATCGTTCTTTCTCTGAAAAAGTTTCGGGGAACAAGGAGAATAGAGCACGTTAATCAATGAACATCCGCGTGATCGCTCCTCACCCTCATGGATATGTCCTCGCCGGGAACTCTGAGGAAAGCGCCGGCGCCGCAGGAGTTGCACTTTCGGGCGTTTCGGCTATAAATTTCGACCGCTTTCGCATGATACCGCCGCTTATCCTTATCCGACTGCGCGTCATATACCATCTTGCGAAACGAGTCGACCTTGAATTCCAGCGTTTTGCAGTGAGCACCGAGAGGCGAAGGGGTGTCGACGACAGTCCCTGGGGAAGAGAAAACTGCGTGGAAATCGCGAAAACTGACAAAATAGAGAAACAATACAATCAAGTAGAGAAAAAGTTCATAGAAACAAATATATCTGAAAAATTGGCTGTGGAAATTAAAGGCGCCAGAAACGCAAAAATGAAATTTCATATTAATTGTTATTGATTGATGTTATTCAATGAGAAGGTGAGGGAACTGGCCGATAATAGGCGAAGGTAATTGACTGCTAATCGGTCGAACACGGAAATAATTCATACACTCGTCAAGTTGCGATAAATAAACTGGTTTATGCGAAACCTCGATTATGAAGTATCACGACTCACGACGCAAGAAGTGGCAGCCGCAAGTCACCGAATGACGCATGTCGGAGAAGGTGCGCCGCTTCTTGAGTATGCAGAGGACGAGATCCTCAGAGAGGAAGTCCCGTCGCTGGAGCGAGGCACACTCCAGTATTCTTGTGCGGAACATCATCGAAATGGCGGCTGCGGCAGCACCGTTAATTGTTAATCGTTGACAAACAATTCATCAAAAGTTATTATCGTTTCAGAAATATTTTTTTTTCATTAAGAAATCAGTCGGTCGATTTGTCAGAGATCTCGAATTAGTGATTGGAACTATTTTTTTTTTGAAGGCTCAAGTATTATTGAGAGTTAATTACTCTGAGAAAAGTGAGAAACTACATATTAAACGAGCGATTTTATCTACTAAAAGTAAGCAGGACACTGATCGTTAATTAAGGACTAAAGATACTTACTGTTGGCGGCGTCATCCACGCCTGGGATCGCTTTTAGCAGCACATTTCGTTTGAACACCGTACCCAGCGTCGCGGCACAGGCGATGAAGCTTCGTTCGAAGGGAGTCATCCCCTCATAAATTTTGTACATCAATCCTAAAGATCGAGGAAGTACCTCGTTTAACGTTTCGAGAGCTTTTCACTCGCACAACTTTATCCTACTAAATCGGTATCCGCGTATTCGACAGAGAAAGTTGTCTTGCAACTGCTGTAAAATTTGTGAATGCGATTAGTATATGCTCTTAGATTCAGCCAAGATTAAAACCACTCGCTAATCAGACTCACGCTTTTACAACAGTTTACAACAGTCGCAAAGCAGTTTTCTCTGCTAAACGCAGCCACTTTTTATAGGAATTCTTCGAACCACATCATTCTCATCTTTCCGCATAGAATGATTTTTTCTTCTCCCCTCTATTTATGTTGTCTCTTTAACTCACCTCTTGTGTCACGGTCCATCTTGGAGATTTCGTCCGTGTAACGCTCATTCACGTCGCACACGTACAAGTAGCTCATCTGCGACCAAGTTCGGGGTGGCGACAGCTCATGCGGCGTCAGGTCAACGGGCAGTCTCGTGATCATGCGGCCGTCCGGGAAAACAAGATCACGTCGACTCGCCTCACTCGGCGATATCCTGATCAGGTCCAACGCATCGCTCTGCAGGAGCAACATGAGGTACACCTCGAACCATCCGATGTGGCCTTCTGTGGACGCAAGTAAGGTCCTCGACGGAAGAAACGAAGGGACAATTGACAAATATGCTCCGGTAGTTGGCCGTTCTAACAACGAGGGCGCGAGATCCTAGGATACCTGCTCAATTTTCTAGGTATTGCGAAGACGTTGAGAAATTGGCAGGCTAGCGCCGGCAGCAGATGCGGATCCAGACCGTATAGCGTCTGCTTCATCAGCCTCGAGTCTCCGCGGATCACCGCTTGCGTGCGAGATGTATAATGCTGAACGCTCGGCTCTGTCGTCAGCATCGTCATCGCCACAACCACGTGGTCGTGGTTCAGAGCCGAGGACAAAAATTGCCAGGACGCATTATCCATATACTGAACATCGTCGAGCAGGATGCAGATTTTGGTTGTTAACTGAAAAGTTAGAATTGGGATTAAAATTCTAAACTGGATTTGTGGGATCAGAATTGGATTATTCTTTAAGCTGGTCTTGTGAAATCGGAATTAAAATTCGAAGCCAAAAGTAAAATCCAAATCGACACAGGCCCAAGAGATTAAATACCAAAATGTCACCTGCTTCAGTATCGTCTCAAAGATACCAACGGTCTTCTTATGACGTCGCAAACTGGAGTCCGAGCAGTAAGTGTCCGATAAAGAAAAATGAACCCTCATCAGATCGTTGAGATAGCAGAGATCTTCCGGAGTGATAACGCCCGCTAATTTGGCTAGTAACACCTTTTGTCGCTCCTCGATCGTGTCGCAGTCCTCGGCCTCCAGTATCTGCGAGAAAAAGATTCGTCTGCCGCAGTAACTCGCTTTCTCCGCGAAGGACCAGGCGGAAGTGAAAGGAATTGGCTATTGTATATTCATTCTGTATGAATTTTCGCACCTGCAGGATAACGTGATGCACCGCCGCGTGAGTCTTCTCCGCGTAGGTCGCGTGAAGCGAGAGCTCGATCGTCCGTATTTGCCGGTTGCGAACGCTCGCGACGAAGGCGTCCAACAGCCTCGATTTTCCGGACCTTTCACCACCCTGGATGGAACAAACGGTCGATTTTACATAAATCTCGCGGTTCGCACTCAATCCTTGAAGGATTCACATCGGTCACCTCGATCAACAGTCCCGAGTAGGTTCGCCCAGCGACTCCGATCTCGTCCAAGACGTCGTCGAATTTATCCAATTCTTGCTGCCTGCCCAGAATGGGATAGCAATACTCCGCGGACGAGGTCTTATCCGGGTCGTCCTCTTGTCTGGTCAAGTATCAAGAGACGTACGATGCAAAATTAATTTCTTTTTGGAATATCTTTTGCATTTATTTGCAATTCTTTCCGTTGTCCTGAAAGAACGAAGTGAAGGCTCAAATAACTCACGGCGCGCCGTCGAGGTACTCGTACACCTGGCCCTTCTCCGACGGCCCCAGTGTCTTTAGACCTCGCGAGCGAAACTGATCCTTGTTCAGGCGACTGTGCAACACGGTGTTGTAGTCGCAAGAGACCTGAGGAAGCGGATCTCGAAGTGAACTCCTCGTGAATAATGGGCGAAAAGTAAAGCTCGATGGAGCCGTGGATTCAGCAAATTTGCATAATCGCATTATTCATATGTATAAGGAAATTAATTAATCCTGTATAAAACAAGTCTAACATAAGAGACATCTTTTTATTGTACATATCACGATTGATTGATTTCCTTGTGCATATGAATAATGTAACAATACACAAGTTTATCTTTATAGGTCTTTAACGAGTTAAACTCCGGTTAAAGTAAGTTGTGGAACTAGGCTTAAGGCTCCTGGCCCTTCGCATTGTCTGTCTTTTTTTAATGACGTCAGAAGCGAGAAAATGCATGCTAAAAATTCTTGCGAAATGCGTTGAGATAAAAATATATATCCATAAAGTAACAATCGATTCTTGTAATCGATTAAATAAATTTGTAAGAAATTCCGTGCACTCCCCTTTTGCTCCAATAATCAAATTACATTAATTTATTGTAAATTAACCTGAATGCGAAGAAATAGATTAAGAAGATGAATTGTACGTCACGTTAATTTACGACAAATTATTGATTATTAAAACGAAAGAGGAATGCACGGAGATATTTCACAGATTTATTTAATCGATTGCAAGTGTCACTTTGTAGATATATCTTTTTATTTCAACATATTTCGCAAGAATTTTTAGCATATATTTTCTCGCTTTTAACGTCATTAACAAAAAATAGAGAATGCGAGAGGCCAAGAGCCTTAAGAGGATGCTGAAGCAGAAAACTCTACCGACAGAACACTGACATTTTTCTGCAAAGTTTACGTCGTATTGGTTATACAGGATTACAAAAATGCTTTTACGCAATGAAAGTACGTGCAAAAATAAATAGGAGCATTGCTCGATATGTGACGAAAAGGAACAAAAAATTTTTAATATATAATCTCAAGCTGTCAGCTTAATATTTGCCTAATCCAAAAGTTCCGCAGCTTGTACATACCAAAAGTGTGGATGCTCCAAATAGAAAAATTTTGAAGAACATTGCTCTACCTTCGCATCTACATTTGGAAGCTTAAAAATATCGAAAAAGTTTGCAGAAAGATTTCTACACATAGTCAGGTTCCGTTGAATGAAACAAAGCAACACACGTTCATGTAAGTTCTGTATATACAAAAAATGCAAAAAAGATAGCGTGATTATATTAGTGACGATAGTCTCTGCATTATCGACATTGTTCCAGTTCGTCATTGACTCCAGCATCCTCTTAAGAGTCAGCAGTCGTAATTAGCAGTCTGGTCGGCCTGTTCAGTCGGCGGTCTGATACGGGTTTTAGTCACTCGGTTAAAACCGATTGCAGGTAGTTCGTATTAAAAAGAAAAAGGGAAAAAAAATTCTTTCTTTATCATGTATATTTGTGTGTAGTATCAATCGTGCAATTCAAGTAGCAAAGGCGTTAAGCTCAGGTAGTTAGAGAAGCTGACGATTACCTTATCGAGACGAGAAGCTGTTGATTACCTTATCGTAAGAAACATTCATTATCCCTGCAGCTCTGTCGACAGACGGGCCAATGACCGCATAATGCTTCCGCATGACGTTGCCGATCACACCGCAGTAGGCCAGTCCTAAAATTGAAAGACTATGCGTAAAAAATCTTGACTATCTCGAAGTAGAATTAGATTAGCCGTACCAGTCGAGACGCCGACAGACACGTTGTAAATCCGGGCAATACTCTTCACTGTCCGTAGCACTTGTATCGCGCAAGTAACTCCGTTTCTGCAAGCCTCGTCGACCTCGATCCCTCGTCGTTGATCGTCCGCCATTCCGAATACTATGCGGAACAGAAAACTCTTCTCACACAGATTTATCGCGTCGATGTAGCCCGCGTATTGCGTGACCACACTGGAACGCAAATATTCAAATGCGGAAATGTGACAATGTTAATATAGAAAAGCAGCAAGAAAAGTAACGGCAGTATACCACACTGAGAGAAAATTATAGTTGCTTTCGACGTCAACTATACTTTTTTTGTGACTTTAACCACAAAAATAATTAGAAGAACCATTGTTTTAGTAAGTGTTATTAGAAAGGTCGTTCTAATTATTTTTGTGGTTAAAATCACAAAAAAGTATAGCTGACGCCGAAAGTAACTATAATTATCTCTCAATGCAATGTTGGGTGTTAAACGTTAAAAACCTTCTTCGATGAAAACCATTAACATTAATCATTAACGTATATTACGATATTATTGCATACAATAATAGCATTGTTACGATTATTATTGTAATAGTGAGATATTAACGGCACATAAGGAGCAAGCACGGATGTCTTAGTGCTATTAAATACTAATATTACTTTTTTAATATTAATATGATTGTGGGAGGATAATCCGCGTACGATAATCGAAAAAAAAATTTCGATACGCGCGTTGAACATACTGGACAATTTTATCCTCCCACAATCATATTAATATTAAAAAAGTAATATTAGTATTTAATAGCACTAAGACATCCGTGCTTGCTCCTTATGTGCCGTTAATATCTCACTATTACAATAATAATCGTTACAATGCTATTATTGTATGCAATAACATCGTAATGTACGTTAATGATTAATGTTAATGGTTTTCATCGAAGAAGGTTTTTAACGTTTAACACCCAACATTGCATTGAGAGATAATTATAGTTACTTTCGGCGTCAGCTATTAATATCGGCGTTAATATCTCACTATTACAATAATAATCGTTACAATGCTATTATTGTATGCAATAACATCGTAATGTACGTTAATGATTAATGTTAATGGTTTTCATCGAAGAAGGTTTTTAACGTTTAACACCCAACATTGCATTGAGAGATAATTATAGTTACTTTCGGCGTCAGCTATTAATATCGGCGTTAATATCTCACTATTAGTTTATCTATTCAAAGGAGCTTTCTATTATTTCGATTATTATTGTACCTGTGCACAAGTAGAAAGCACTTGTCGATTAGGAGAACCAACTCGTCGTTCGTATACTTATCGGGTACGATGTCAAGGGAGACCGTGGTGACATGTCTGATCGCCGCGAAAAAATCCAACGGCTGATCCCTCTCGATCTACAAACAGTAAAGGTACGTCTACAGTGAGAGTAAAGTATGGCTGTAAAAAGTAAGAATAAGAAATCGACCAAACATTGCTGAATGTGGGAAGAATAATCGACTGAGCGATTTCTCACTCTTACTTCTTATGGGCTTTCTGCAATAAGCCGTTTGTCGTAACACATAACGTATAACATGAGAAAAAAATTTAC